AGTTTTTTATTTGATGCAAAACAAAGGAAGCCATACTCAAAATGGCTCCTCACCAAAGACTTATATAACATTAATAATATTTCTGGATCAGCTCCCCAGTTAGTACTAGCCAAAGCTTTTAATACATTAAAGGCCTTAGAAGCTCTGTCTGTAATAGAATTCACGTATTTGGTCCAAGATAAATTATTTGTAAAAATTACACCTAAGAATTTTGCACAACTTTCTATTGGTAAAAATGTATTATTATAAATTATTCTAGTGTTAAATGGACGAATTTTATTAAATATTACAAATATACTTTTCTCAGTACTAATATCTAAATTTAAGTATGAAAAGTAAATGTGCAATTTCTTTAAAGCCTTATTTAAAATGGTTACCAAGTTTTTGACATTTGCTCCTGAGGCGTATATGACCAAATCATCTGCATATTGTAAATTAGTAACATTTGATCCTAAAATATTGTTTAATTTAAATATGTATAAAATAAAGATAAGAGGACTTAATATTCCACCTTGACAAACACCTTTATAACTGAGCCTAGGACCAATAATTGTATTATTATTATTAACTTTAGCAAAAACTTCTTTCATGTATATAGGACGTAGTGGAGCATGCTCCACTACGTCCTATAGTGAGCCAAATCGATTCACCAACTTACAAATTGGCTCAACACTTAGCGAATATACTCTCACCGCTCAAGGGACATACAAGAGCACACACAAAGGATTCCTACCATTTTGTCAGCGAGATTAAAGACCTACATCTGGCAGACAATGAAACTGTGGTCAGTTTTGATGTGCAGTCTCTGTTCACATGCTTACCTGTTGAAGACTGCATCTCGATTGTTACTAGAAGGCTAGAGCAAAACAACATGCCTGTAGAATATGAAGTATTACTTAGACACTGCCTTACATCTGGCTACCTATTGTGGAAGGAGAAGTACTACAAGCAAGTAGATGGAGTGGCGATGGGCTCACCTGTATCTCCCATTCTTGCCGATATATTCATGGAGGACTTTGAGGAGAAAGCCCTGCGTACTTCTCCCGTAAAACCAAGATTCTACAAGCGGTATGTAGACGACACTTTCACAATTCTCCCTTTAGATAAAGTAACTGCATTTCTAGACCATCTTAACTCCTTAAATTCTAAAATTCAGTTCACAATGGCAAAATTCAGTTCACAGAGGCAAACAATTCTTTAGCTTTTCTAGATGTGTTAGTAATTCGGAATCCTGATAACACCTTGAGCCACACTGTGTATAGAAAAAAGACCCATACAGATAGATATTTAAACGGTGATTCTCACCACCATCCTTCACAGTTAGCTACCATGGGTAAATCTTTGTTTCAGAGAGCACGAGGGATCTGTGACAGTAAACACCTGGCCGCCGAGCTCCAACACGTCAAGCAAGTTTTGTACGACAATAAGCCTCTGACATATGCTGTACTGCCATATGTCAGAGGTGTCACTGACAAGATTGGCTACATCTTGAAGCGTGCTTCCATTAAAACATATTTCAAGCCGCCGAAGAAGATTAGTCAGTTTTTATCATCAGTCAAGTGTAATATTCCTCTGCAAGATGCAGGAGTGTACAAGCTTTATTGTGAATGTGGTCTCTCTTATATAGGACTAACTAAAATATCCATAAAACCCGCGTTAAAGAACACATAGCTGATGTGAAGAATAGACGCTCCGGGAAGTCTGCAGTCTGTGAACACGTACAGGATAGCCCCCGTCACTACATTAGATTTGATAGATCACAAATCCTCGCTAAAAACACAGATTCCTTCCAAGGAAGATTCGCGAGGCTATTCAAATCAAGAAACATCCTAATTTCAATAGAGAAGATGGCTGGGTGCTACCATCTGCTTGGGATCCCATAATTAATAAAATTAAATCCCAACCCAAGCATACAACTGCAAGACTTCATGATATTGTAAGTTCATACTGCGTAGATCGGAACAAAAACTAATAATTTTTAATCTGGAGGTAGCCGTGGTTATCTATGACATTGGGACGTCATACACCTCAGTCCCCCCCGTGACCATGGGTGCTGTAAAGTGCTTGAAACGTTGGGAATGTAAAATAAGCTAATATACGCGATAAAATCCGTTAAATTAGTTTTATTTAAATGTGTAGTTTTCGCGTAAATATAAGAAATCATTTAGAGTTTATACTAAAATAGGATATAAGCGTTTATGTTATATTAAACTGAATAAAGATTATAGAGTTACACATAAAACAGGATATAAGCATTTATGTTATGATAAGGAAATAATAGTTTAGTGTTTATATCTGTATAATAGAATTAGTTTTAATGTAAACAATGACTCAGTAAGGTGGTCATTTTGTATAGCAGAACTAGCTTTAATGTAAACAATGTAACGTGACTCAGCAAGGTGGTCACTTAACATCATCACTTGCTCTGTCTTCGCGCTGATTGGTCGACGCCATTTGTACGATACTTACACCATATCTATAGAAAGAAAATATCTCAGCGGTTTTATTCTCCACCAACCTAGCACACAATTGTGCTTGTAGGGCACATTTAGTCCTTCGCCAGCCGAATATTGTGGGGGATAATTACCTGAAGACTTCAAATAGTGCTACAACGAGTTAAGAAGACCTCTCGGAAATCGTTTTCAAGACTCAAGTTTTTCGAAGAAAAAAGTCAGCTGACAGCATGGTCGTTAGGCGCTCTGAGGGAAAGGGCAGCAAGCCGTCGTCGTCCGAGGCTACCACCTCGGCGACCGGTACCACCAGTGCGGAAGCCAGTAAGGAATCGACAGCTACAGGTACGACCGCCACGGAGACTTCGGAGTATACAGACACTTCCGCGGCAACTGATCCATCCACCGTGACTTCCGCCTCCGCAGCAACCACTTCGTCCGCCGCCACGTCAGCCTCAGCCGCAAGCGCCACGCACCCCGCCAGCGCCGTCGCTCCTTCCGTAACACCATCCGCGGCGACGACGCTAACTGCGGGTGTGAAGTCCAAACAGCTGATGAAGCCGCCCGCTACTGTCACCAGAGCAACTCGCCGAGAAACAGAAACTGCTACAGTGAAGCGAGCCATAAGAAGCACCGCCGGTCCATCGAAGCAAACCGGACTACACGAACCCCTCCCTCCCAGCAAGAAGGGAGGAGGAGGGGGTCTACACGCAGTAGAACGAAGCAGCTCAAGCTTGCATAGGCGAAAGAAGATTTGCTACGCCTTCAAGTGGAATTAGCCGCAGCACGCCTTGCTGCCTTGGAAAGGGAAGACTCAGAAGAGGAGGAAGAAGAAGATGACGCCTCCCTCTACTCGAGATCAGAAGTCAATGCAAGAGTGGACGACTGGTTGAAGAATCAAGTGAATTGTCCGGTGTTAGCAATCACCAACGAACCTCACCATGCCATAGAAGAACCAACGACCACCCACGCAGAAGAACCAAGTCACGGAAAGCATGAAGAAACACATCAGTCACCGGCGGGAGGTCAAACTGACGTATCCCTCCTGGCTGAAGCCATCACTCGGGCAGTCAGCGCCGCCCAACGACCTAAGTTCGTCGAGTTACCATTCTTCAGTGGGTCTCATCAGGAATGGCTACCCTTTCGCGCCGCCTACTACGAGACAGAAGCGACATTCAGCGCAGTTGAAAATACGAATCGACTCCGAAGAAACTTGAAAGGGAAGGCCAAGGAAGCAGTAGAAGGCCTACTTATGACCAACGCACACCCGGCTGAAGTAATGAAGACTTTGGAGTCAAGATTTGGAAGACCAGAGTCAATAGCCATGCTGGAGATGGAGACGCTTAGAGTTCTGCCGCGCCTTACTGAGTCACCAAGAGACATATGCATATTCGCCACCAAGGTCTCCAACGTAGTGGCGACACTGAAGACTTTGAGTTGTTTTAACTACATGTACAATCCTGAACTCGCGAAGACAATAGTGGACAAATTGACGCCAACTCTGCATTATAGATACTACGACTTCTCAGCCATGCAGCCACGTGAATACCCTTGCCTCATCAAGATAGAGAAGTTCTTCAAAAGGGAAGCAGAATTGTGTGGACCCTATGCGCTGCCCGAACAGATGACACCGCCTCCTACAACCGCACCACAAAGGAAGACTCAAAGGATCAACAACGTGACTGAGAAGACATACATACCAAGGTGCGTCGCATGTGAAGATACGGGGCACACCAACGCCACAGAATGTGAACATGTGTGTTAGACATGGCCAAGTCCAAGCGCCTCTGCTTCAGGTGTCTTCGCTATAGGAACAAGACACACCACTGCCGACCCAAGTCATGTAATGTCAACAGCTGCAAGTACTCCCACCACAAAATGCTGCACTACGAAAAGAAGTCAGAAGATACAGAAGCAAAAGAAAATCAAGGGGCAACAGAGGTCATCAACTCAACTTGGACCGTCAAGAAGCAATCGTATTTAAAAATCCTACCGATCCAGGTCGAAGGACCAAAAGGAGCTGTCAACACCTTCACGTTGATGGACGACGGCTCAACAGTCACGCTCGTCGACGATAGCATAGTAACAAGTGTCAGAGCAACGGGCCCCATAGACCCACTGAAGATAGAAACCATCAACGATAAGAAAGTATCGGAGTCAGCATCAAGGAGAGCCACCATCAAACTAAAGGGGCTCAACGATCACGACGAGCAAATACAAGCACGCACAGTGAAGAACCTGCAAGTCTCATCTCAACGGGTCCCACAGGAACTAGTGGAAGAGTGTCAACACCTCTTTGTTATCCAAGGACATCTCACATATGCAAACGCAAAGCCACGAGTGCTGATCGGTCAAGATAACTGGCATCTTCTGCTGACATAGGAAGTAAGAAGAGGAGACAAGAACCACCCAGTGGCATCTCTCACGCCACTAGGTTGGGTACTCCACGGAAGCCAGACACGAAGCTTCGGGTAGAACATCGATTTCGTGTCACACATCGTAGAGGATCCAGACGAGAATCTAGAAGACCTCGTGAAGCGATACTTCGAGATGGACGCAGTATGCATAAAAACCAAGAGACCGAAGACTGATCCAAAAGAACAAGCATTTCGTATCTTGGAAAGAACCACAACAAAGATAGAAGAAGGAAGATTCCAGACCGATCTTCTCTGGCGCAAAGACGATGTAAAGTTACCAGACACCTACGAAAACCCGCTGAAGAGGCTCTTCAATATAGAAAAGAAGATCGATCGTGATCCCACGTTAAAGAAGAAATACGTGGAACAAATGGACGCTCTCGTCGCAAAGGGGTACGCCGAACCCGCCCCAAAACAGAATACAGCTGACAAGACTCGGTACCTACCTCACTTTGCAGCAGTCATGGGCACCAGACTCGCAGAAACAGTGGTCGAAGAACACGAGAGGAAACCTGACCGCAAAGTATTCTGGACGGACAGCAAAACAGTACTAACCTGGATAAGGACAGGGTCACGTTCATACAAGCCCTACGTAGCTCATCGTCTAGCAGCAATAGAAGAGAGTTCCAAAGTTAACCACTGGCGTTGGATTCCGACAAAGCTGAACGTGGCGGACGACGCCACACGTGACGTACCAGCAGCATTTAATAAAGACCATCGATGGTTCAAAGGACCTGACTTCTTATACCTATCAGAAGACTCCTGGCCGACGGAAACCACAAGAGCAACAGCGGAACAACCTTCCGACGAAGAAAGGACACATCACGGGAGCAACAAAGGCGATTGAAGCTTGCAGAAGGTCTACCTGATCAAGCGTAGTTCTCCAACTGGGACCGACTCCGATACTCAACCGCGCGTGTTCTACATTTCATTCAACTCTGCAGAACCACCAAACAGAGAGTCAACTACAAACAACAAAGAAGAATAAAGAGGCTGATCCCACTTGGAAAAAGAACAAAGCTACAGTAAAATATCGAGCGCACACAACGACAAAGAAGCGGTCACCAGGAGACATAAAGCCGCTAATGGTCTCAGCCGAGCTGCTTAAAACAGCTGAAGAACTCCTGATGCGATCTTCCCAAGAAGAATCCTTTGCGGAAGAAATAGACAGCCTAAACAGCGGGAAGCTGATCAACAAAGAGAGCTGCCTTCGCCAGCTCAGCGTCGAGTCAATAAACGGCACACTACGACTTAGAAGCCGTATTCAAGCGGTCTGCAACATGGAGGAAGAATTCAAGAACCCGCTGATAATTGACGGTGATCATCATACAGTCAAGCTCTGGGTGCAGGCTATACATCGGCAACTCCATCACGCTGGTGTAGAGGCCGCAGTCAACGAGTGCCGGCAGCAGTATTGGGTACTGAGACTGCCCCCTATCGTACGCACAATACTACGAAGATGCCTATTCTGCAGATTGAAGACGCAAGTACCGCCGCATCCGAGAACCAGGGACCTGCCAACATGTCGCTTAACTCACCACAAGCGCCCCTTCACCTACACTGGGGTGGACTATTTCGGACCTCTTTTGGTGACCGTCGGACGAACTCGACAAAAGAGATATGTGGCCATTTTTACATGTCTCACTACGCGAGCCATACATCTGGAAGTCGCCGGCTCACTTAGCGCTGACTCCGCGGTAATGGCCATAAGGCGAATGATCGCGCGGCGAGGCTGCCCGACAGAAATATGGTCAGACAATGGCACCAACCTGAAGGCAGCCGATAAGGAACTACGACAGGCAGTCGACGCAGCGACCGCAGAAGAAGCAGCGAAAAGGACTATCTCTTGGCGCTACATCCCGCCTGGAGCTCCGTTTATGGGAGGAGCCTGGGAGCGAATGGTTCGCTCCGTCAAGACTGCTCTCATAGCGACGTTACACGAACGTCATCCAACAGAAGAAATCCTCACGACACTACTGGTAGAAGTAGAATACACCGTCAACAGCCGCCCGCTGACTCACATCTCAGTCAGTCCAGAGGATCCCGAAGCTCTCACTCCTAACCACTTCTTGTTGGGAGGACCGGGACGAGTACCACAGCCAGGGACTTTCACCGAACAAGACGCCCTCTTACGGTCAAGTTGGCGAGCTGCGCAGAGGCTAACCGACATCTTCTGGCTATGCTGGGTGAAGGAGTACCTCCTTGAGCTCCAACACCGGCGGGAGCCCCACGGACCAGGCCAAGCAGCACGCGTCGACGACCTAGTACAGATCGTCGATCCCAACCTGCCCCGCAACGTGTGGATACGAGGAAGGGTCATCGCTACATATCCGGGTCCCGACAACGTCGTGCGGACGGTGGACGTGCTGACCAAGGGAGGTGTCCTACGCCGGCCAGTGAGGAAGCTTGTGATCCTGCCTCTAACTAAGGACGTCGAGCCCGCACCGGAACAGGTTCCGGCGATGCGACGCGGTCGCACGGCGGGAGTGATGTGCGGGACAAGTGAAAACAAATAGTGATAGGATAATACATAAATAAGACAAACATTTTATGTTATATTAATGGAGTAAATATTATAGTTTAGAGTTTATACTTAAATAGGATATAAGCTTTTATGTTATATTAAACTGAATAAAGATTATAGAGTTACACATAAAATAGGATATAAGCATTTATGTTATGATAAGGAAATAACAGTTTAGTGTTTATATCTGTATAATAGAATTAGTTTTAATGTAAACAATGACTCAGTTAGGTGGTCACTTTGTATAGCAGAACTAGCTTTAATGTAAACAATGTAACGTGACTCAGCAAGGTGGTCACTTAACATCGTCACTTGCTCTGTCACGCCTCGCGCTGATTGGTCGACGCCATTTGTACAAAACTTCACCGTATCTATTGACCCAGCCGAGGTAGTATAAAAGAGGGGCGATTTTCGTCGTTCGACACAGTCGGCGGCCAGCTACCTCAAGAAAAACATCGAATATAGAAGAAAGAAAATATCTCAGCGGTTTTATTCTCCACCAACCCAGCACACAATTGTGCCTGTAGGGCACAATACAACAGAAACCTAAGAACAATAATTAACAAAGCATAGAAACAAGACTAAAATAGCAACAAAATGCATTGGAACCTCAGAGTAATTAAATACATATGTATGCATAAAGGGACTACAATTCTACATCAATTGAGTCATAGACTTGTCTCGCTTTTCCTAATTTAATTTTAAAACAGAACCTTATTTAACGATGTAACGTGTAATTTATGCGTAAAGCTTGAATGACAAGTCATCTTTGGTTTTTTATACTATCCCAAACATGGAAATACATGTACTTCGTACAAACTGAAACCCGCACTTTCGAATGACATAAAAAATACAAGAAAACGACCTTGAAATTTTTCACTACCCCTCAGTCTCTTTCTAATTAGAGTGAACACAAAATACACAAGAATTTGGGATATTATGGGGGAACATCACTTTATTTTTATTATATTCATTTATAAAATTTTAATTTAATTGAAAATAGTAGAGTTCAATTGAAACGCATCATATTAGAGAAATTCATAAGGTCGAGCCTGCGGGCGGAAGTTTATTAATTAATATTATTTATTCGTGTACTTTTTTGTCAATAAACGAATAAACGAGTGAACTGGCTCTATATACAAAACTTTAACTAAAAGTAAAATATTTTTGTCCGAAAATGAACAAAAAATTCGATTTCCCATACAAAATGTATCGGTCACGTGACCAATTTTGTATGGGAAGTCAATTTTTTTTAATTTCCACAAAGAAAATTCTTCAGTACCTTACTCAGGATGATGATTCATGGTTAAAGTTTTCGGGAAACTGTCTTTACATCTCTTATAATGTAACATTAGGAAATAATAAAACTAAAATAATAATAGTTTTTATTTACATTTATTATTACAATAGCAATAGTGTCTACAAATTTAAAATATACAATAATAATAATTAGAGGTGAAGGTTTTTACAACAACTCAATTTTTATACATGATTGAATAGTTTTGTGAAAATTTTGTCACTTGGTACGAATAGCACTCAACTTTTAGTCCATAATTTTTTTTAGATGCGTTCTGAGACACATGGTCAAAAAAGAGTTTGAAATTCACAGCACAGTCCAACTGATGGTAAGTGGTTGCTGCGGCCTATATTTATTTATTATTTATTGTGCGATCAAAAGACATTTACATCTATCCTCTATTACAAATCAAAATGCATCAGAATGCCTCTTTTCCAGTAAAAAGGGTCTCCGGTTCTCTACACTCACCATACGAAACACAACAGCGTTAAACTGCTATTTTACGCTGGCATTCTGTGAGAGCGTGGTCCTTCCCCGGTCGAGCCGACCCATTCGTACTACAACTATACATTGAAAAGTACTCGGCCTAACCAAGAAAATAAACACATACTAAATCAGTTATATTTTTATTTTTCTACATAATCACCATCAAGTTTAATACACTTTTGCCACCTCCCCTTCCAAGCATTTAGACCGTTGAAAAAAAATGATTCTTCCTTAGAGTCAAAATATGCGTCTACAGCTGCTTTGACCTCGTCGTTTGTCGAAAATCTTTGACCTCCCAAGTGCTTTTTTAGGTTAGGGAACAGAAAGAAGTCTGATGGTGCCAGATCAGGTGAATACGGCGGATGCGGTAACAGTTCAAAGCCACAGTTGTGAATTTCAGCCATTGACTGTACTGACGTGTGAACACGGGCGTTATCTTGATGAAACAGGACTTTTCTTCTGAGCATTCCTCGACGTTTTTCTTTTATTTCCTCTCGTAAACGACGTAGTAAGGTGCAGTAGTAATCAGAGTTTATATTCTGATCCCTTTCAAGATAATCAATCATAATCACACCTTTCGAGTCCCAGAATACTGAAGCCATCACCTTATTTGCCGACAAAATCGACTTAGCCTTTTTAGGGGGTGGTGAACCAGGTCTTCTCCACTGTTTTGATTGTTGTTTTGTTTCCGGTGTACAGTAATGAACCCATGTTTCGTCCATAGTAACAAAACGATTCAAAAAATCATCTGCATCGGCTTCAAATAACTCCAAACAGTCGCGTGAAATAGTCAATCGCGTCCTTTTTTGTTCAACTGAAAGCAGTCGCGGAACCCACCTCGCAGACACCGTCTCCCATTATTAAACTTTTTTAATATTTTCGTCAGTAGTTGACGCCGAAGGCCTTCCAGAGCGGGGTTCATCTTTCACACTCTCTCTACCACGCTTAAATTCTGCTATCCATTTTTTGACGGATGAATATGACAGAGCACAATCCCCTAATATACTGACCATGTCATCATGGATGGCTTTTGATGATAGCCCCTTCTTATGGAGATACTTAATGACGGCACGCTGCTCGATTTGCTCCATTCGCGGAAATTATGTCCGATTACTTTGTTAATAAATTTATAAAATCACAACTAATTATCGCACACGTTTCGAACTTCACACAATCAACTAGTCTGAACTGAAGTAAATAATGTGGGTAGATTTGATTTTTAGAATTGAATGGATCTGTGTTAGGCCGAGTACTTTTAAATCCACCCAGGTAGCTGCATCATGGCTCTACCACGTATAACACTATAGAATACGTATAAATAAAACATTGGTCATAACTGTGGTGTGAAGTGATGAATAATAATATTGATTAATACATTTTTAATATAGTTGTACTGTAACATCAGTATTTAAGAACGGGTTTGTATCAGATAAAAAGCTCTACAATGCAATTAAAGAAGGCCAAAGAGCGTCTTAAGGTCTCAACGTTTGGCAAAGTTGCATATTGTTTAATAAACTTGTACGCTTTTGACGAGTAAAATGTAATGTTAATAATTAGTTCTTCTTTTTGTGA